TGTCTTGGGTTCCATGTGTCAAGAGCTCTTATCTGTACCAATGTACATACTCCAGTCTAGCCGGATTTATAAGGTAGAATTGGGTCATGATAGTGGTTGGGGGATGGAGGTGGGGAGGAAACATTTAAGAACTAGAAGAATGTTGTTGGGTTTTTAATCGGTGCTAAACTGCACCCTGGCTGAATCGTACCTTTCTTGTGACCTTTCTGTGAGGGGATGTCCAACTGTCCACAGATGGGCTTTGGGTCTCCACTCTGACTCCTTTCTTTGGCATCGATATAATTGTTTGTTTTGGATCTTTTGATACCTGATACCTGATCCTGTGGACACTTTGTGATCACACAAGCTGGTGTGCTTCTTCCATGTGGGCTTTGTTGCTTCCCGGCTAGATGGTCACTTGTTTAACATCAAGCCTTTAAGACCCAAGTTGGTATATCTTTTGATAGCCACGATAAGCTTTCTTCACATTTTCTTATGCACCCATTTTGTCTTCAGGGAAGGTGAGTATCACAGAGTGCCAGATTATTAGAACAAAGTGTTCTTGTGTTTAGAAAGGCCTTAAGTAGAGACCCAAAGTCCATCCGCTGTCTTAGTATTTAACATAAAATATATGTACATTGGCCTATATCCTTATCGTTATAAATGGATATATTTACATATATGCATGCCTATACCTATACTCCTATAAATTGCTTTTGCTTCCTAATTCTTTCTATTTCCTTTCACCTTCTTCCTGTCCCACTATCATGCTCGCCTTCCATTCTGCTCTCAGTAATTCCTCTTGGATACATTGCACTTGATCAACCCCACCAGGCATTCTGCACCCTCCTCGCCATCAATTCTAGGTCTCTTATTGTTCACTTGTCCCTGAATTTTTGCCTCTCGCTCCCCTTCCCCACCCCCTCCTCCTCTCCCATGTCCCCCCAGAACCGCTGGTCCCATTGTTTTCACCTCTGGATTGCCTAGCTTACATAGATCTACATAGAGAAAAAGAAAAGAAAGGGGAAAAACCCCAACCCTATAAATAGTTCCAGGTCTGACTGCTGACCCTTATGAGTATTTTCCATTTGGGTCTCAGGTGCCAAGCCCTGCCCCCCATGTCAGAAATCTATTTTGGGGATTTCTCAAGGGCTTTGTTACGTTGCTCCCCTTACCTGCCCCATTGTGCTTCCTTCATGTTTCACCCCGCTGTGGGGAGGGGGTGGCCAGACCAGGCACACTTTCCACACTGTGTCTCCAATGCTGCCCCCTGTAGAGTTGTGGTTCAGTGAGGGGACATCGTGTCCCACGGTGGGGCCAGTGCTACATCCTTTCTGTGCATTGGCTGCTCCAAGCAGAGATGTCGTCTTTGGGCTTGCTGGGCCATGAGGAGGTTTGCTCTCTCTCTCTCTCTCTCTCTCTCCCTCCCTCTTAGTTTGCTCCCGTGTACACAGGAGAGACCAGCCACTCTCTCCATCCTGTATCTTCAGCCGATGGTTTTTCATGCCATCCTTTCTCTCTTAGGTGAAGGAAGGGGGTTTGAAATCGCCCAAGGCCGCCTTGGACCTGGCAGAATCCACCACTGCATGAGAACGGTTGGTTTGGCCGAACGTGCTTTACAGATCATGTGTGAACGTGCAGCACAGAGGGTGGCCTTTAAGAAGAAACTGTATGCACACGTAAGGATGGTTATTTATTTTTTGAATTATTGCAGTTCAATTTACCACACTAGCCTTGAACAAAAACAGTATTACTTGGCTAGAAAGAGTTCCTCTTTCTAGTGCATACAAGGTAATTCTTATCCACAAAGTAGTTTATGTCTGGTCTCAATGTAGTCTGATGAGAGGTGTCTGTCTTTGTGAAAGAGTGTGTGGTCTCTCAGCACACAGAGCATGAACAAGTCCTGCAGCATTCCCAGACGCGTTCTCCAGAGAACCCGGTACACTCATGCTGCCATTTGCTGGCATGGACTTATTTAGCTTTTCAGAAGAAATTGGGACAAATAATGATCAATAGTAACTGGCAAGGGAAAACAGCCTACTCCCTGACGGGGGAAACATTGTGATAGTGTTCTAAACACAGGTATGAGTCCTCTGTCAGTGGAGAAACCAGGCAGAAATGGGGCCAACATTTGGTGGGGCTTTTCATGAGTTTTGAATTCTCATCTAAACATTTTTATACATCTGAGTCTGTTGTTGACACAGTGCCATAAACAGCACCCTTACACGTGGACAATACAATCCCAATCAGGAGACTGGTAGTAGGAAGGGAAAGAAGATGGCATTTCGATTTCCTTGAAGAGCTCTCTAAGTGAACTGAGATCTCCAAATCCCACCCCTCAAGCTCTTCTGATTTTAAGAAGGGGAGAAAAATTATTAAATAGTAAATAGTTGTTATCAACAGTTTAACTTATGGTGCTGGTGAAGAATAGTGAAAATACTATGGACTGCTAAAAGGATAAACAAATCTGTCTTTGAGGAACTATAGCAAGGATGGCAGACTTGGTCTTCCGTACTTTGCACGTGTCGTCAGGAGAGACCAGTCCCTGGTTTGGGGCAGTGGAGGGGCAGTGGAAAGGAGGAAGACCCTCCATGGAATGGATTGACACGGTGGCTGCCGCAGTGGTCTCAAGCAGCGGAACCACAGGGAGCATACACAGGAGTTGGCAGTGCTTCTTCTGTTGTCCACAGCGTCGCTATGATGGCACCTAACGACCACGACAACAGTTCTTCCTGCGAGAGGAGCTGAGTGCACGGTGATTGGGCATTCGGTGGTGAAACGAAAGGCTGGCAATTTTGACCCCAGCAGCTGCTTGGCAGGAGGCCCCTGTGGCAGTGTGCTTCCATAAGGATCACCCCTTGGAGACCCTCTGGCAGTGGTTCTCACCCTTCCCAACCACGGCCCTTTCAGACAGCTCCTTATGTGGTGGTGACACCCAACCATAGAGTTGCCATTGCTACTTCATTACTGTCATTTTGCTACTGTAATGAATCTGGCGACCCCTGTGAAAGGGTCTTTCCACCACCAAAGGGGTCGCGGCCCACAGGTTGAGAACCGCTGCCCTTTGGACAGTTCTACCCGGTTTGCTAGTGTTGCCATGAGTCAGAATCCACTCCGTGGCAATGAGTTTTTGGGGGGGGATTTATTATCGCTAACATCAAGATGAGGTCAAATGTATGGTAATACAATTGTATTTGCTGGACGTGTATATTTTAGAATATACATTCCTTTGTATGCATATGACCCGACTTGCCACAAGCAAAGAAAACTTAAAGCATTTACTGATGAAGATTAAGAAGAACCATAACCTTAGATGTGGACTGTAATGCAATACAGAAAGACCTAATCCAAGTTGCCAAGGCTGTCACTGCCATCACTCACAGTCAATTCTCCCAGCAGCAGGCTGTCTGGGAAACCTACTGATGTGTTGCACTACGCAGATGTGATGCACAGACCCCTGTAAGGTTGCGAAGAGCACAGCTTTCACTTGGAGACTAAGGTGCACCGGGCCAGGCCATGGCATTTTCAGTGGCCTCCTCTGCATGTGAGAGCTGACAATGACTAAGGAAAACCACAGAACTTGAATCATGTTGTTGATGAAAAACATGTCTGGAGAACATGGACAGCCAAAAGAAAAACAACTCTTAGAAGAATGCTCCTGGGGAAAACGTTGTCTGGCTTACTTTGGGCCTATTATCAGGAGGGGCCAGTCCCTGGAGAAGGACATCACGGCATCGGAAAGTAGAGAGTCAGAGGGATAAAAAGGAAGGCCTTCAATAAGGTGGCCTGACCCAGTGGGCTCCACAGTGCAGCTCCAGGCAGCTCAGGTCTACCTGGGTCATTGCGCATCAGGACCAATTCAGCGCCAAAGTCCCTTTGTGCCTACTGTATACCTTTTAAAGTAGATGTGTTACCTTACACCCACCCAGTCTGTGCAGTCATGTTCATAGACACATGCTTGACTCCAAGCCCTTTTCCTCTGGGACCATACAGCCTGCTCCTGGCATCACGTGCCGGAGTACTTTGTAAGGGACCCCCTGAATGTGCAAAGAAGAGCAAAGTTCCACTTTCGGGTGGGTACTGTGGGAGCAGATGAGAAGAAGCAAATGTTGAGGGATGGATCCAGCTGCTGGTGGCCAGGCCAAGGCATTTTCCCTTTCTCCTGCCAGGATCACCACCCAGCCCCTGCAGCAAGCAGAGAGTGAGGGGGCGGCCCGTGAACACGTGCTCCAGGGCAGCTTTCATGAGCGATGATTCAGTACTGTGCCAAATGACACTCCGCGTCACAGAAACTTCCCTCCGGCCTTTCCAAATCCATGCCTCATGGAGAACAAGCCTGGGCTTTTCAACCTGTGCCTCTGGCACAGAGGGGGAAATGGCAGATGCAAAAGATGTGTGTGTATGTCATAAATAAAAATCTGGGCCGGGTTTTTTTGGTTTTGTTTTTTTGATTCAGGAAAGTCATAATCCATTTCCCTGAATTGGGAGACTCTTTTCCAACTGCCTCATAAATAATTCCAGACTTTAAAGCAAAAACAAAACAGTAGTGGGTGTGACCAAAAGAGCCACGTGAGGGATCCTTATGGTGATGAGAGTGTTCTCCGGGTTAACTATATCAATGGTGAGATTGTACTTTTCCCCCCAGGAAGTCAATATTAGAGAAAACTGGGTAAAGGGTACTGCGATTCTCCTGGTAATATTTCCTACAACTGCTTATGAATCAACAGTTACGAACAAATAAAATGTTTCCATTTATTTAAGGCAAATGTTTTTTAACAGCAAAGAAACTTCGAGATCGATGTTTCATTGTAGTGAATACGTATGTCTGTCTCCTAGAGCACTCGGTTTATAGCCACTGGATGCTTTTCTGCACAGGAGAGCCCTTAGAAGCCCAGCCAAGAGCACTTTCATCTGTTTTGGAGTGGAATGCTGGTGGGGTCTGTGCATGGAGTTACCACTGCTAGCTTGTACCGAAATGCAAACCAAACTCACTGCCATCGAGTTGATGCCGCCTCCTAGTGACAGTGTAGGACAGAACCCTATAGAGAAGCCCTAGCTATAGAAAGACCCCAAGGGTAGAGCTGCCGCTCTGAGTTTTCGAGACTATAACTGTTAAAGAGTGTAGAAAGCCCCATCTTACAGCAGAGCAGCTGGTGGTTTTGAACTGCTAACCTTACAGATTGCACTCCAACACATAACCACTACACCACCAGGGCTCCAAGCCCTCTTTTACAGCCATCAAACACGTCACTGCAGATGGCTTGTTTGGAGTTTTCCTTTCAGAACGCAGCCAGCTTCTAGGGCAGGGATGTCCAGGGGAGATAAAACCATACATGTAATGTAACGTGTTCTAGCAGTGTAAAAAGTCAAAAAAGAATTGGGTGAAATTAGTGCCTGCAGATATTTTATTTAATCCCAAATAACCAAAATGTTATCATTTCATATGAAATAAATATGAAAATGTTATTGAGAGATTTTATTTTGGGGGCTGATCATTTGACACCAAGTGTGCATACTATACTTATCACACCTCTCAATTCAGACGGGGCCTGTTGGACATGCCCAATAGGCACACTGGGCACCACTGCTCCTGGAAATTCTGATCAAAAACATTTACTTGTTGAAGAAACATACCAAAGCAAACATGACCAACCATAGAAATGCTTCTGGAAGGTTCAGGCAGCTGGAATCTGTGGTTGTCCACTGGTCAAACTTACATTATCAAACATTACCCTCCATTGTAAACACCAGTTCTCTGTTTAGAACTGGGAACCCAAGTCCCCTGAGAGCCAGCTGGTAGAACAGGGCTTACCCCCGGACATGCAGTGCTGGATTCTGTACAGGGGTCTCAGATGTGCCCTGCTCTCAGGGCTCATCACTCTTGGTGGTCATGATATATTCTCTCTTCCTGCTTCTGAGATGGCTCACTTTATACCCAGCAGATGGCAAATGGGACAATCCCTGAGTTACAGTCTTCTACCTTATTCGCATATTCCCACCCAAAGTCCTCTATATGCCTTATTTGTTGTTCCCACACAACAAAACCTTCATAATTGGACCAATAGGTGAGACATCATGATAAACGGAGAAAAGATGGGAGTCAAGAGTTTCATCTTGCTGGGATCCATACTCAAGGCTTTTGGGGGCGACAGTCAAGAAAGCAAACACTGCATTGCCCCGAGGAGCCCTGGAACGTGTGGAAGAGCAAGGATGTCACTCAGCATAAGTCTCTGGAGACTGATGGGGGGGTGGGGATGGGGGGTGGTTTGGGTACATCAACAACGTGTTCCTTTTTATCGCCGAGTAGCATTGCGTAGTGTGGATGCACTTCAGTTTGTGTAACCGTTCATCCATTAAGGGTTGGGTTGTTTCTATTCAGGGCTAATTAAATAAAGTTGCTATCCACATTTTTGTATACGCTTAAAATATGTCTTCATTTCTCTTGGAAAAATGCCCAAGGGTACAATTGCTAGGTCAAGAGGCAGTCGTTTAGGTTTTCCAGAATGGCTTTACCATTACAGTCCTAACAGCAACATAGGAGTGGTCCACTCTCTGTGCATCCCAGTCAGCACTGTGTGTTTTCATTTTTTTTTAACTTTAGCCCACCTGAGAGAGGTGTACTGATACCCATCTTACGGTTGGCATTTGTGTCTCCCGTTTAGCCTCTCGGGCTGAACCTCTTGTCGCGTCCTTACTTGTGTCTGTGTCTCCCCCTTGGTGGAATGTTTCTTCCTGTCTTTTTCCTGTATTCTGATTGGACTGTCTGCATTTTACTGCTGAATTTGGAGAATTTTTTTATGTATTCTAGTTTCTTTCTTCAGATATGTGGTTTGCAATATTTCTCCCACTCTGTAGCTTGTCTTTCCTTCTTACCCTCTTAGCAGGACCTTTTGCAGAGAAAAAGTGTTTAATTGTGATGCATCCAACTTTTCGCTTTTATTAATCAGACATTTGGTATCAAGCTAAGAGCATTTTGCTGGCTTGATATAAACCCATATACTATTGCTTTTATTACATAAAATAAAACAATAATAGCACAAGAAAAGGCTGATGGACCATCTCCACATTGAAATCATAATTAGCCACATTTCTCCCTGTTTCACGGAAAGCATTGGGTTAACATGTAGGTGATCAGTGCTTTGTCAATTAGACAGTTGTTTGATTCAGCCAGCTTGAACTTAAACATCAAGAAATACAAAATAAATTATTTTTATGATCAAATGAGTTGTCTAAAATTTGCCACTATGAAATAAAGCTGGGTGCCTGGGTCAGTGTATACTGAACAAAGTAGCTTTGCCATTAAGACACCTAGTGTATGGCATTTGAACAATCCTTACCCCAAGGTATCATTTCCTAAAGTGGGTGATAGCTCACTTGGGGGGCTCTGGAATGATTCAGGGGGGCTGCAAAAGCAGATACCTAAACTTTATCCTGGATTATGGGCTATCATACAGAAGTTTTTAATTTTCTAGGGTCTTATTCAAACTTATTGCCATCAAATTGATGTTGAATCTTAGTGACCCTCTAGGACAGGGTAGAACTGTCCCCGTGGGTTTCTCAGACTGTCACTCTATATGGGAGTAGAAAGGCCCATCTTCCTCCCACAGAGCACCTATGGTTTTGAACTGCTGACTTTACAGTAAGCAGCCCAATTCTTAACCACGACCCTACCAGGACTCGTTTAGTAATTTCCTTTCTGACAAAGGGGCAGTAGGCCCAATAAGTTTAGGAACCCATGGCCTAGAGAGGATTTTCCTTTTCCATAAGCAGCAAGGATGTGTGACATATGACCTTCAGATTCTAGCTCCCCTTTTCTTGCTTACAGGAGGTCGTAGCCCACTGGATTGCTGAGAGCCGCATTGCCATTGAGCAGATCCGTTTGTTGACCTTGAAAGCTGCCCACAGCATTGACACGGTGGGCAGCGCTCGGGCTAAGAAAGAGGTAAGAGCATCATCTTCCTGGTGCTCTCTGGTTTCTCCTGTCCATTGGGCATCCCCAGTTCCACGGTGCCTTGATGACACTCAGAGTATTGGAGGGCCACGTATTTATATTATAGTTCAAAGAGTGCCAGTACACAAGAGTAAATTAAAATATGTTCCTACCAGGATTCCAGTTCATACACCCAAAGTGATTCCAAGCAAAATGTGTTTAAACATGTCTCTGTGAACAGGAGATGGATGCAGACAAGCTCTCTCAGAGACACACTTGTCTTGGCTTCATTAGGCTTTGGAGGGGATCTGCTAGGCAAAGATGTCAGCTGAGATGATGAGGCTGTTTTTGTCTGTTGGTTTTTTAATTTCCAAAGGGTAGTCTTGATAGATTTTCTCCAAGGACAAAGAGTGACCATGGGGCTTATTTCGAAGGCATTTTAAGAAAATTGAAAACTGCATTGAGGAGAAAAAGGCCAGGCAAGTTGTACCAACGGATTTTTCCAGGGTGATGATGCATCTGTTCATTCTTTGAGGTATTAATGGCTGTCCTACAAGAATTTCATTGGGAAACCATACCTCATCCAAGCTACAGCCCTGAATCTTGCCTCTTCAGACGTCTCGTTCTCCAAATTGGGGAGAGCTTCAAAGGAACATGATCTGAAACCCTTGAGGATGCCAAAAGTGCTGGATTGACAAATCCAAGTGTGCAGTCTCCCTGCAGGGTGCGAGGGATGGGAATGCCGTCTTCAGAAGCGACTAGACCTGTCAGGAGAGTGTGCCGGGAAACCACAGCTTCCATCGTGGTCTTTTTGCTTCCTGGAGACGCCTATGCTTTTGTCGTGGTGCTCGCTGACTCACTGTGTGTCACTCGCTAGCCTCCCGGCCACTGGCTGCTTCGGGCTGGTTTTCAGAGTGCAGAGTATGTGAGCAATCTCATGAGGCAGCAACACCTGGGGGAAGCCTAACTTTATACAGAACTTTCATTGCACCCTGGGCTCTATTGTTAGCAGCTAACTTGGATGATTGGCAAATACTTAACCTTTCTGGTTAAAGCCTAGGGTCTCTTGTGAAGAGTAATCAAGATAATGGAGATAGCATCATGCTGCCACCTAGTAAATATTTCATGAAACCCCCTCAAATTCCTGGTGTGCATTTATGGGCTATATCAAGATTAGCTGTTGGATCTTAAAAATTATAAAAATGCTAAGAGAAAACAGATTAGTGAAGATCTTCTAACACTCTTGATAATCCCTAAGTAGCAAATGTGATTTATTGGTGGGCTAAACACCCTTTGGAAGAAGGCAAGTTATAAATAAATGAACAAATGTGATTTGGGAGACATCTCTCTTTCCAGGAGTGTGTGTTGGCTGAAAGATGGTCCCAGTGGTGAACTGTGTTTGGGACAGTTGGCGGGTTTGGTGTCACCGAGAAGACGGATGATATCAAATGCTGCTCCATTGTCTACAGTCTAAGAATGCAGCGTTGTTTGAATGTGTGGCTTCTCTAGATTGCAATGATCAAAGTGGCTGCCCCCCGAGCTGTCTGCAGCATCATCGATCGGGCCATCCAGGTGTGTGGAGGCGCAGGCGTTTCCCAGGACTACCCTCTGGCTAACATGTGAGTGGCTGCCATTTGAGAACTAGCTAACTGTTAAAATGTGTGCACATTCTGACACTAATTGTTTAAGAGGTAGATAGACACACTGGCTTCAGTATGTGGCCGCCACCCAAAAAGGCATTTGCTCAAATCCACCAGCGCTCTGTGGAAGAAAGCTGTGGCAGCCTGGTTCTGTGAAGATAGACAGGGGGCTTCAAAAAGTTCAGGAAAAACCGGAATTAAAAGACAATGGAATGTCTCCATGAACTTTTTGAAGCTCCCGCAACAGTGTTGAAAACCTTGTGGGACAGGTGTACTCTGTCCTAAAACAAAGGGTTACTGTGAATCAGAATCTAATTCAGCGGCAACAGGTTTGGTCTGTAGTTTGTTTTGTGGTTGTAAACTTAGAGTGCCATTGAAGAACAGTTGCTCCTGTGAGCCCATCATCTCGCTCCGCTGTTTGCACTCACACGGAGAGCTCCCACTGTGGGGGTGTGGGCTGTGGCTATAGCCTGGGGTTCAGCCCGAAACAAGGGACCCAGAGCCAGGCTCTGTTTGCACGCGGCACTGTCTACCACTAGCACAAGGAAGGCAGCTGCTCTACCGGCCGGTTCCAATCTTCTGTGCAGGTTCTGAGTGCTGGCCCGCCCGAGAACGAACACCCTCCAGCCTGCCTGTTCACCCCAACGCGCATTCTCAGGGCTGATGCCTTCTCTCTCTCTCTCTCCTCTCTCCTCTCTCCTGGGAAACAGGGCGAGTGGCCAGTTTCATTTTTAGATTTTTGCCTCATCAGTTTTTAACTCAAGAGCAAAATCTGTACTCTATCATTTATTTTCTGTGGCTTACTCTTTCTTCTGGCATCTTCTAATAACTGCAGGAAACTGCTAATGAGCAGAACCCCTGCGTCATGTCAGAACCCACTTCCCCACCTGGGGGCTTTAAAATGGCATCTCAGAAGCCCCTTTTCACATACCGCCACGGATTTCCTTTGTGTTCCTTTTCTCATTCAAGCCCTCTGAGGGTCCGATGCACAAGTTAAAGCCTTGGCTGAGGATCAGAGCGGCTCACCTTGTAGGATCAGCCCTCCTTCAATAACCCTACTCCTGCCCCCTTTTGCTCTCCAGGTACGCGCTGGTCCGCACTTTGCGCTTGGCCGATGGCCCGGATGAAGTTCACCTGTCAGCCATTGCAGGCATGGAGCTGCAGGACCAAGCCAAAGGGCTGAGGGCCAAAATGTAGGGGGGCAGAGGGGCACAGCACATTCGGTGGGCAGCAACTCACCCGCCCACAGATTAACCAACCCGTTTGTGAGTGATGGCGCGCTTTGGGAGCAGCTTGAGAACCGGGAGAATGACTCACATCGGGGTGTTGTTGTGGCATCTACTTGGATCAACTAGTTGTAAAGGTTTAAGTTACATTGGCAATTACGTAACTGTTGTGACTCAGTCTAGTACTTCAGTGTAACATTTATTTTCTTCTGACTGTCCAGTTATGAAGAGATCATGAATTAACTTGGAAGAGTGGTGCCTAGGCATAAAAAGACCTTCACTTTTTTACTTTCAGGAACTACTCCTTGCAAGCAAATACTCAAACAATATTTAATCACCACGGTATGAAAATGTAGCAGGTCCTCCCTTTTGACACCGGTTTGAGGCCTTGATTGAACATAGTGACTTGAGAAAGCTAAGTATTCTAATGGGTGGATGTTTGCAACAGGGACGGAGCATGACTGATGGGCTTCTTCAGCGTTTATATCACTAAAAGCCTCTCTAGAATTCAACAGCAAACATTCATGCATAAAATCACAACGTGGTGCATATAA